GGCCGCGGCAGCAAGACGGGCAATCCCGGCGACGTCACGGTGCATGTGATGTCACCCCGTAGCCACGGCGTCGGGCCGGAACATCTCCTGACACGCCACAGCCTCCTGCCATGGGGAAGGGGAACCACATTAAACCTCCATGTGATCGCCTCCCTTTGATGAAAGAGACGCTGAGACACACTAGAAATAGCCCCCCCGCCTCCGACTCCAATCTCCTCGAGAATTGCCCGAATAAGCATAAATGGGAATAAAGTTTAAATCAAGCAATTATTTCCCTAATTCCTCTCAAAACTTGGAGTGCGCTGGAACTGCTGGCGGGTGTGTTTCCCTTTCCCTCCCCCAGTAGCCGGGTTCTAATTGTGTCGTTAGTAATTAATGGCTTTGAGTGGAGACATTTTATTTTTAATTAAAAGAAGACAAGGAGAAGCCATCCATCTTGTGGCCTTTCCGCCGCGCAGTTTTTTACAGGGGCCGCCATGCTGCCGGTCCCAGATACCGCCTCCTCGTGGGAGGAGGGGATTCGTGCAGGGGCACCCATGTCATGGCAGGGAACGCGTGTATGGAGGGCCACGTGCCTCTCCCGGGAGGAGAGAGGCCTAAGACTGTGTCCCATCCAAGCTGTGCTGGGGATGTGGGAGTTCCCTTTCACACACGGAGAGGAGCGTATGGCCCTTCGCCAGGAGCTGTCCCTGAGGGTAAAACCCACCAGGCCCTCAGTCCTGGCCCCTCAGCCTCCAGGGCGAACGCCGCTCCTGGGGCGCGCCAGTCGGCCGTTATGCTCTGCAGGACTAGCTGCCAGAGGGGGGCTGTCTGTGGCAGGCGGCCCACGGCCAGGGCTGAGACTGGCTCTACGATGCTGAGGCACGTGGCTCCCAGCAGCGCTGGGCCTGACTCGGCCTGTGGCAGGAAGAAATCATCTCCCTGGCTCCCACTGGCTCCATGGCAGACACGTGGGGCAGGCTCCTGCTTGAGGGTGAAGCGGGGCAGGGGAGTCACCTCAGCTCTTGGCTTTCTGGCTAAAGTGCTTTTGCGCAAAATCATGCCAGGCTAGACGCAGCCACAGTGTCATATGGAGTATGTCTAAACTAC